CCAAGCTCTGTTCTGCAACAGAGCCCCCTTTTTTCTAATTTGGCTGAACTCCTCTATTTCCCTTCCTGCTAATCTCTACTTTCACAGAAATTTAACTTGGCTTTATCCCATGAAAGGACCCCTTTCACTTGTCTCCAGTTATTTACAAGAATCTGCTCTTCTTTACAGAGACCCTCCTGATCATTTTGCAACTTCCAAGGGACTTGAATCTCTCTCTCTCTTTCCTCTTTCTTGCTTCTGAATCTGCAAACTTGTCTTGTCCTGTCAAAGCCACCTCTGCTTTTTCTACAGAGCTCCCAGTTGCCTTGTGACCCAGCATTCTTAGCTTGGCTCCCTTTTCTCATCTGACTTTGACTCTATGAGTTTTTCATCTTTTCCCGTCTAAAATTGGCTGTGTCCCTAAGAGGGTGCTTAATTTGGCGCTCATAATTGTGGTTTGGAATGTTAGCAGTATTCACAGGTATCACCTGACAGGGGTCATTAAGTGAATGCTTTTGCTATGGCCCTCATAGCACAAGCATGGCAAACCATGGCAAAGGTGGTGATGTCTGAACTGCCTTAGCATGGGAGTGGAATGCTCCAAGGAAGTAATGAAGAAGTGGGACTATACCATTGGTTAAACTACCTGTGACTATGGCACAGCCTCAGTGCCCACTGCTTTAAGGTGCATGTACAATGAAAGCCCTCACAAAGTACAATAAACAAGCACAAACATGTGTAGCAAAATGGTCAAATGTTGTGTAGAGACACAAGAAGAAGATTTGGCTCTTGCTTAGCCAGTGCTTTTAGTTGGCTGTGCCCTTAATCTCAGTTCAGTTCTTCACCTCCCTCTCCATTGCACAGCTTGCATAGATATCTTTGGACTTACATCTTCTTCTAGCTGTGTCTCACTGTGGGAGGCCATTGATATGCCAGTGGCCTTGCTGCTGCCCAAGCTGTTTAAGGCAGTTGCCCTGACTCCTTCTCAGAGCCCATCAGGTTGTTCTTCCTTCAGGACAGCAGAGAATGGGCCTACACCAACTATGTGTATGCCTTACTAGGACAGGGCCTGTCTTTTGTGTGTTGTCAACTTTGTTACTGCCAGGCACTTAACAAATGACAATATTGGTTTCCTCTAAGTAACTCAAAGGCAGCCTGCTGAGCAGGGTAAGGCACTTCAGTCAAGACATGTCATAGGTGACAAAGCCATTAGTGACTCATGTCCATCCTTTCCCCTCTTGACAGATGTGATTCCATATGCAGGTATGGGCTCTTCCAGATTGGACACTCCTGGCAGATGCTCCACAAGGGGCAGTACACCATAGAAAATTACCCTCATGCTCCAAATGGCTATTTCTGCCTTGCTGCTGTTCTTGATCATCATTGTCTGTGTCCTGAGCTAGCTCTTTCAAGTGTGGCTCCCCAAGAGTCAGTCATCTCCATGTTTGGTCCCTAGAACTTAAATGTTGGAGGATGCAAGTGAAAGAGGAACAGAGAGTGTGTGTGGTGGGGGGAGGGACACCCTGGCCAGACCCGGCTCACTCTCCCTTTCAGCATGCTCTCTCTGCCACCATGTGACATAGGGTGGGTGCTGGGCTAGATGGCCATATGGTCTGTCCCAACAAATGGCAGTTCTTTGTATTCTCCTAGAAGCAGTGATAGGCTTAAATTTTTCTAGAGGCAGGTGCAGGTGCTCAAGCCCTAGCTGAACCTCAGCCTCGACTCCCTGCCTCCCAGCTGCTCCAGACCCGGTGTAACCTTGCCCACCCACATATGAAGAAGGGCCCTCTGGAAAACAATTACTCCTAGGCTGCTTTCAGAGGAGAGATCCCTCAAGTCCCCAGCCTGCCTACCAGGGCAGGGGAGTATGACACACTTCTCCCCTCCCCTCCCCTCCCCCCCC